TCACTATAAACAATACATTTCACAATTATACCAAACAAAAAATTTTCTTTTCCCTTCTAAATCCTATTTTTCTTTTTTCTTCGCTGTTGTTTCTTAACGCTAATTTCAGTCTTTTCTCTTCTTCCTCTTCTTCTTCTTTTCAGCGTTAATTGAACTTTTATGAAAAACTTCAAACTAAAAACATTTTCAGTAAGCGTTCCATTAATCAAAAGCCAAATAATCACTGATATACATCGATCCATCTCTTCTTTTTTTTTTCCTTCCTTTTTTCCCCTTCTGCCTAATGTCCATGACTGTTTATGTTTAAAAAAAAGAAAGAAACAAAAATAGAGTAAACAGCAAAGAGTGAATGCATCTAATCTTTTTTCATTAGCGGAGCAAGAAAAACAACAGGACGAGTATGAGTCGAGTTAAACATATTTTTATATGTGGAATATTAAAAAGAAAGACGAAATTTTAATTATCTGACATAACTCAGTGCTTATAAACCTCAGCTAAAATTCTGCTGTCTCAAACGAAAATAATTCCAAATATATGAAAAGTTCTATGCACGCATTTCTCACCCAAAAGTAATCAAACCACTGGAACAAAAACAAGTGCCTTCGTTCCTTACCCCAGCTTTTGAAATTGTGAAACAGTCTTTACTTTTGTCCTTCCCTGCTCCACCCTTCCTCCCTCACCTCTCCCTATTCATCCTCAACAATATATATTAAAACACAAAATTTCTAAGATTTCTAAGCAGAACCAAATAAAACAGAAAAGAAAAAAAAATTAATCACATTTGATGCTTAGTAAGCAATTTAAGTTGATGGGAAAAAGAAGTGTTGATCCAGCTTTTGTTTAGTTTTTTCCCTTGTCCCTCTCTTTCTAGTGATCGCTGAAACAACTAGAAATGGTTGGCTTAACATATAACATAAATTTCATGCCCACTCTCTCGCTTAATTGAAAACTACATTTGGTAATCCTGTGTAGTCAAGAAAGGCTGTCTAGCAAGCTGAATATCAAAATATCCGGACAACCGCGCGTACCAGCAATGATGGCAACAATCTTCTCTCAATCTTTCAGGTTTTTGACGAAGCAGTAATGTTAATACAACAATGATAATCTCTACGCTCACAAAAATTGTACTTTTGCTACCTGAACTATCGAATATTCAAACTGATAAGCTTACTCATGTTATCGAAAGCCAAAAAATTTATGGTTAGTTCAAATGCTTGTTTCCTTTCTTCTTTCCAACCTTTTTATTTAATCCTATACGAAAAAAATGAATAAGTCTCTTACTTAACAAAGCTTTCCATTGCCCTTTGAGAAAGTTTTATCAGTAAGTAACACAATCCCCAAAATGCATCTGAATGTATTTCTCAGTGCTAAGAAGGAAAAGCAAAAGCAGAAAAAATCCTACAAAAAAATTAAAAACCCTTTTTCTTTTTTTCACAAAGAAGCTAATTCCTGGTAGTCAGACAAAATGTTTAACACATACTACACAAATTTTTACAGATAATATCGATAGACAGATAGATAAATAAATAGGCAGTTAGACAGAAAGAGGCAGAGGCAAATGAAAAGAATTTTCTTTATTCTTTTTGCGGTGGCATCGAATGTCAACATTCTATGAAAATTGCTGATCAAAACCAAGTTGCAGGAAACACGTTGAGAGAGCCAAAGCGATGTACCCAAACGAACGCAAAAATAAGGAAAGAATTAATCAAGGTAAATTTGAGACTACTAACGAAGAAGTGGGCAGTGAGCTTAAGTTACTGTTTATTGTTTCTTCTTATCAATTCTTATCTGCCCAAAAAAAAAAGAAAGAAAGAAAGATCAAATTTACGCTGGAAAGAACTATTTCCCTAGCTAAGAGCTCTCGAGCCTGCAAATTCAATCCCCGTATAGCAACCAAATCTTTCTGAGTAACTTGTAGCCATTACAGGCTTTGTCATCTCTCCGACCACTTCTCTTCAACATCATTTTCTTAGCAAATTTTTTTCTCTGTAAATGCTAGAAAAAATGACCATCAGAATGTTGTAAACAATAGACTTACGATATTATGCTCCATTTACAGCTGCAAAAGAAAGTAACTAAATTGTTGTATAGTAATCATGTGTTTTTCACACTTCTTATATCAACTAGAAAAATTCCCAGGAAGATACCAGTGGGACTGGGGGTAGGAGATGGAGGAACTAAACGATGAGGGAAAGAAATTGAACTAGGCAGGTATGCAGGATTTCAAAAAGTTCTTAAACCAAAAATAAGAACTGAAAAAAAGAAAAACAATCTTTTAAATGTTCTTTCCTGCTGCACTATTCAAACGTTTAGTAAAAATGTGTTTTTCCAATGAATTCATTTACTAAGCGCAGATTTGGTGGACATCATAAAACAGTTTTTCCATGCATTTTTCTTGGCAAAAAGCCAACCAATACTGCATGTAAATCAAATTAAACAATAAAAGATCTAAAGTGAAAATCTAAAAACCTTCTGTTTATTTACAGAACACAATTCATGAACTATTCATGATTTTCGGCTTCCATCAACCACACCGCTTATTTAATATGTAAAAAGTTGAAAAAAAAAATTATTTTTTTATAGGCAGAAAATAAAAAATGAAAAATTTTGCTGCCATTCATTTGCAGTTCTTTCTTGCAGAGCTTATTCAACGAAAGTACCTACGACAAAAGTACGTTGCCTTCCTCAGAGTCAACTAAAGCTGTCGTTGAATTGACCATACAAAGTATACGAGAAATTAGTGAATTTTCTAGCAGTTTTAAGGCTGACGTTTGGTTTAGTCAAATATGGCATGACCCAAGGCTTGATTTCCAGGTGTTTATAACATCCTCCGTAAAACGCCCCTACGCAAAAAAATTATCAAAAAATAAAAATAACAGAAAGTTTTCATTTTTGTAGGAAAATATGATCAAATGCCAAACATTTATTTTAAGCTATCTTCGTTTCTTCTTTTTTTCGTTTTCCTTATATTCCGCCTGTAACGCAGAAAATAAGAAATCTAGGCAAAAAATTTATGCCTAACAAATTTGTCATTATCCGCCCATCAACTGCCTAACTTCTGGACGCCCAATGTGTGTTTTGCCAACAGTCGAAAGGTTGAAATACACTCCTCACCTTCACAAAACATTCTTCTTCTAATATTCCCGAACGGAACAGTATGGTTAAACTACAGGTATAAATAAATAAATGAATAAATAAATAAATATATATATATAT